AACTTTTGTTTTATATGTATATATATATGTATATATATATGTATATGTATATATGTATATATATATATATATGCCCTTTTTTACATATCCTGTTTTCTTCCTCTAATGTATTTGTCATGTTTGGTGCATAAAACTGGGTAAATGGAAAGGTCGGTGTTTTAATTTCTTTAAAAAATGTAAATATTTAGTGCTACATCTTATAGCACTTTGAAATACCTCATGTTTATGAAAATAGCAGTTCAATGATTAAAAAAAAAAAAGTTGTTTCAGGGACGCGGCCCAGACCCTAAGTTCAAGCATCAAGACAGGCATCAAAACAAAACAACAACAAAGAACAAACCCTGGAGCCGTGTCTGTGATTCATTCTACCACCTTTCAGTTTCCCTATTTGTAGAACAGGGAGAGTTCTTGCCAAATGGTTCCTACCGGAAACTGGTTGGTTTCGTGGTGCTGTGCGTGTGGAGAAGGCGCCTCGGGCAGGGTTTCCAAGCGCCGTGAGCTGGGGACCAGGTGGCTGGTGAACACAGATCCCAGGGCCAGGCCACGTGGCACCTGACCCCTGTGCAGCAGACCTGCCCCCGGGGAAGCTGGGCACCCAGCCCAGCACCAGACACCCGGGCCGGCCGGTCCCTGCACAGAAGTCAGGGCTGAGTGTGTGCCTGGCACCGGCACGTGTATGACTCCTTGGTCGGCAGCCACGGCTGGGGAAGTTGGTATCTGATAGACACCGCCGGAGGCTCTGCTTTGCAGAAATGGTGAAGGAACTAAGGTCCAGTCTGTGATTCCCTCCCGGGAGAGGAGCCACCTGTGGCCCCCGGGAGGGGTGCTGGGTCCCCAGAGAGCAGGGTCCAGGCCAAGGGAAAGAGGGGGCTCTCTGCAGAGCCTGAGCCGGACCACCCCTCTGGAGGGGTCATCAGCCAGCTCAGCCGTGCCCGCCCTCCATCCGGCCCCTGGCTGGACACCGTTATTCCCCCAGGGCAGGCTGCTGTGGTGGAGGGAGGGCTTCTGGAGGGCGGTGCACTGGCCACCTCCTTCAGCCACCTGAGAGTCGCGACCTCATTAATTCAGACACAAGAAGCAAACCCAGGCAACCTTACGTGTGCTTTCCCGTAGGCTCGGTCGTCGGGGGAACTTGCTCCCTGAAATGGCGCTCCCTTGGAGTCCTTCAGGAGGGCTAGCCTGGCCTGCTCATTCTGTCCTATGCTCACAAGTGTAGCACAAAGAAATGTGCAGACAGACATACTGCCATATCCTAGCTAGATCCCAGCTGCCAGCCAGCCCTGCCTCCCCCAGGCGCAGGATGGCCCGGCTCGATCCATTCAGGCTCGGGGACACCTGCCCCGTCTGATCACGATCACCGCCTGCACTCGTGTGTGTGTGTGACAGGCACATGATGTCCAGAGGTCCTGAGGTGCAGCCAGAGGGCGATGGTGTCTGTGCAAGCCACCAAAGCCCTGGGGCCCTGCTGCATCGGGCAGAGCATGTCTATGCTCAGAGCCTCAGGGCCAGCATGGCGGGTGCTGCAGGCAGACAGAAGGCAGAGGCTTCCTCTTTCCAGGGCTGAGAAGACGCTGGATAGCCTCAGTCCTTCAAGGCTGGGATGGGGGACTGGGTCGAACTCAGTTCCCAAACCCAGAAAGAGTTCTGGTCTTGTAGGGTAGGAACTGAATCTCCAGTGTGAGCTACACTCAAGTTCAGAGGGACAATGATGTTGTGTTGGTTTCCTGTGGTTAACCCAAGGGCCAACCGCAAAGGGAAAGGGACAAAAATTGTCAGCTTGTCCTCTGTGGAGGCCGAGAGTTCAAGGCCAGTGTGTGGGGCCCCTTGATCCCCCTCCAGCCTCTGCTGGCACGTGTCTTAGCTTGGCTCTGCCTGTGCTTAAGTGGCTCCTGCCCCCCACGTCTGTGTGGCTCCCTCCTTACCCACTTTCCTCCTCTTCTACTTCTCTGTCATTGTCCCTGTTTTCCCTGTCATCGTTGTCCTCATCCTCTTCTTCATCTTTGTGGTACTGGGGGCTGTAGCCAGGCCCTTACCCGCACAGACGTGCATTTTACTACCCCCGCTGCCTTTTAATTTTGATTTTGACAGTCCTGGGGTTTGAACTAAGGATTTTGAGCCACACCCCCAATTCTCGGTGTGCTTTAGTTAAGTTTTTCAAACAGAGTCTTGAGTTGATGCCCCCATCAGCTTGGACTACCATGTGAGTTACCGGTCCCATGTAGTCGGCACACGGTGACCGGCTACTGGTGGAGATGGGGCCTTGAGGACTTTTGACCCAGTGGGCCTCCAACAACCATCTTCCCAATCTCCCAAGCAGCCAGAATCCCAGGTGTGAGCCATCACGCCGGTGAGTTTTGTTTTTGAGACAGAACCTCAGGGACCTTGCCCAGGCCGCCTTCCAATTCTTGGTCCTCTTGGCTCTGTCCCTGGGGACACCTGAGTTCCCACAACTCCAGCTGGAGGAGTGGCAGGGATTACAGGTGTGGCCAACAAGCCTGGCTTCTGTGGGTTCTTTCTTTAGGGCAGCCTTGTTGAATGAGAGGGGGCTAGCCTAAAACACTGCTGTCTTATTTCCATTATCTCAGTCATACCTACAAAGACCGTATTTCCAAATCAGGCCACACTTGGAGGCTCTAGGTGGATGTGAACTTTTAGCGGACACGATTGGATCTGGCCCGACATTAAATAGCAGAGTGCAGGGCAGCAGGTGGCCGGGAGATGGCCAAGAGCTGCGGGATGTTGGTCCAGTGGCTGGTGCAACGTTGCCTTCTGATGCCCAGCTAGAAAGGGCTGCCAGACCACCGGGCTAGCTGGCTGGCAAGCTTCCTTAGCCGATGAGGAAACGGGATCAGAGGGGTCCCAGGGCTGGCCAGAGCTGGGACCAGAACCTGGGGATGCAGAGATTCTAAGGAGCTCCCTCGGGCCTCAGGAAGCAGAGGTGCTATCTGGCTGGGAGAGCGTCGATTCTGCAGGTGGCCACCTCTCTGGAGCGTGGCTGGAGTCCTCATGGATTCATGAGGTTACTGGCAGAGACAGTCGGTGGGGACTCAGGTGAGTGAGGGGGCCACTCCTGCCTCTCCCCTCCCAGCTGCAGGGAGGGGGGGGAAATGCCCCCAAGGGGCGTGGGTGGAGAGAGAGGCCACCCTGTGTGTGTGCTCCACCCCCGTGTGCTCCACCCTAGTGTTCCACCCCCATGTACTCCGAGTGCTCCACCCCTGAGTGCTCCACCCCCATGTACTCCACCGAGTGCTCCACCCCCAGTGCTCTACCCCATGTGCTCCACCCCTTTGTGCTCCACACCAGAGTGCTCCCCCCCC